GGAACGGCTATGCAGACGTCATGGCCGAAGGTGCATCGACAACCTACAGGAAGGGGGCCATGGCGCTCCCGCGGGCTGCGGCAGGGCGAGTGCGGCTTGTTGACGTGCTGCCGCCGCACCTGCAGTCTCTTCTGTCTGATTCGTCGCAGATGTTACGAGAGCCTGAGGCTCGCAATTTTGCTTTGGGTGAGGCTCCCAGGGTCTGTGCCATGGACCCAGTGCTGCAGCGACATGGCTACCAGTTCGGCGAGTGCCTTTCTGAGCTGCTCTCCGCGGGCATCATCGAGCGCGCGTCCGAGGGCAGCATCATCGAGCGGGCTGGCATCTTTTTCGTCCCAAAGAAGGACTCGTCGCTTCGGCTGATCTTCGACACCCGGAGGTCCAATGCCCATTTCCAGGACCCTCCCTACACCTTGCTCGCGAGCGGGGAGGCCCTGGCTAACTTGGAGGTTGATGCTGCTGAGGGGGTCGCGGTGGCCTCAGGCGACGTTGAATGCTGCTTCTACCAATACGAGCTGCCTTGCTGGGCACGTGCCTTCTTCGGTTTGCCAGCGGTCCAAGCACGTTTTTTGGATCCAGCAGCCCGTCAGCAACTCGGGGTTTCTGATCCGTCCGAGATGATCCACTTCGTTGCCAGAGTGGTGCCCATGGGCTGGTCGTGGGCCGTGCACCTCATTCAGGAGGCCTACGCACACGTCCTGAGCAACGTCAGCCCGGAGGCGCCCTGGATCGCCGACAAGGTTCCCACGCCGGCGCTCGGGGCTCAGTGTTCCACCGCCAAGATGCTGTACATCGACAATGTCGCGGTCTTCATTCACTTCAGGCAGCGGCGACCCCACCCTGGAGGTGGAGCGCATGTTGGCCGCGCTCAGTGCGCGGGGCATTCAGGCCTCCTTCGACCGCGATGATGGGGACCTGCACACCCTGCTCGGCTTCGTGCTGCACAAGCCCTCGGCCACTTGGCGTCTTTCACAGGGCAAGTTCTGGCGACTGAAGTTCAGCCTCGATTTTGTGCTCACGCCGGGACGGCTCGTCACTGGGCGCGAGCTCGAGAGGCTGATGGGCCATATCACGGCCGCCGTCATGCTTCAGCGGCACATGCTCTCGCTATTCCATGCGATCTATGAGTTCTGCAGGCGCTCGCGTGACAAGCGGCAGCCACTCTGGTCGTCGGTGAGGCGGGAGCTCTCCTGGTTCAGAGCGCTACTTCCCTGCGTGACAGTCTCGCTGAGCCGAACCTGGTGCGAGCGCGTCACTGCGACCGACGCCTCGCCATGGGGGTTTGGCGTCGTGGAGCAGCCGTGGCCCGTCAGTGAAGTTCGGCGCATCGGCAGCCTCTCGGAGCGCAGCCGCTTCAGAGGGGTCCTGACGGCCGACTACGCCCCCAGGGACACGCTGGTCGAGCAGCAGCTCCTGCACGCCTCGGCTGCCGACGTCACCGCGGAGGGCACCCTGACCCACTTCGAGGAGGTGCCTGCAGCGCGGCTCTTGGCCGACCAATGGGCGGTCGCGGCCGCGCGTCGCTGGCGGCGGGCCTCGGCCATCCACGTCTTGGAGGCTGAGGGGGCGCGCTGGGCTGTGCGGCGCCTTGCTCGCAATTCGCAGCTGCACGGACATCGGCACCTCATCCTGGGTGACAACCTCGGGGTGGTGTGCGCATGCGAAAAGGGCAGAGCGGCACATTTTGCACTCAACGTCGTCTGTCGGGAGATCTGCGCCATCTCAATCGCCTCCGGGATGCAGCTCAGGTTCAGATGGATTCCTTCAGAGCTCAATCCTGGAGATGCTCCCTCTCGCAGGTTCATGCCAGGCATGGGAAAGCAACACGGTGTCGGACAATGCGGTGCACCCTAAGCCAGGGGTGAGAAAGGCACACAGCAGGCTGGTCCTCTATCCGGAGCCATCGGCTCGAGGGAGCACAACCATGCCAGTGACGGCTTACTGGGTCAACCCCGCCTACGGCAAGCGCGCCCGCGATGCAGCGGCGCCCAGGCCAGCGCCAACCACCCGGCGCGCCTTCGGCTCGCGCGGCGGGCGCGGGCTGCCAGGCCCTTTGGGCTCCCGCCAGGGTTGGACATCCCCAGCGCCGCTGAGCGACAGGCCCGCAGAGGTATGTGCGCGACGGGCGCGGCTGTGTCCGCGGCTCTCGCGACTGGCGGCGCGTCGGGTGCGACGCGCCACCGAGCTCTCGTACCTGCGGGCGCTGACCATGCTCTTGGGCTGGCTACGGCTACTCGCGCTGCCGTGCTGGGCCCCCGCGCAGTGGGACGAGACGCTGGTGGACTACTCCGAGTGGGCCTTCGACCGCGGCATGGGCCGGGAGGCGTTCTCACGCACCCTCTGTGCCGTGGCTTGGGGCGAGCCTGCGCTGGGAGGCCCCGTGCGGCGCCTCTTTCCCGCGGCGCACGCGTCGCTGTCAGGCTGGACGCGCCTCCAGCCGGGACACTCCCGCCCGCCATTGCCGCGGGCAATCGCCCTTGCGATGGCTGCCGTGCTGGTCTCGATGGGCAAGCCGGACTCGGGTCTGTGCATCCTGGTGGCCTTCGAGTGCTACCTGCGCCCGTCCGAGGCCGCGACCTTGCTGGCCAAGCAGCTGCTTCCAGGCAGGTGCAACGAGGTCGGGGTGCCACAGCACCCTCTCCTCATTCTGCACCCAGAGGAGCTCGCTACCAGCTCCAAGACGGGCGAGTTCGACTCCACGGTGGCTTTCGACCTTCCTCGACATCACTGGATTGGGCGCGCGGCTGCAACGGCTTCGACGCGAGGGCGAGCTCCTGTTTCAGATCTCTTACCCCCAGCTCCTGGCCGACTTCCATGCTGCCTGTCACTACCTCAAGCTCGAAGGTTTGGGCTTCTCGCCGCACTGCCTGAGGCGCGGCGGCGCGACTCACGACCGCGCTGCAGGCTGCCGCTCACTGCTGGAGGTGCAAAGGCGAGGAATGTGGAGGGCGGCGTCATCGGTGCGGAGATACGACAAGGCAGGACGTCTGGCGCTGGTCATGCGGAACCTCAGCACCGCCCAGAGGAAAGGCTGCGTGGTGTGGGCGGCAGCCGCCCAGCGGCTCTTCGACAACGCCTACGTGCTGCCCTCCGCGCCGGCCGCCTCGGCGAGCGGCGGGCTTTCCTCGACCTCTTCTCAGGCTCTGGTGGCCTTGCCACGGAGCTGAAAAAGAGGGGGCATGCTGTAGTTTCAATCGACGTGCTCCTAGGGCACGAATGTGATTTGCTCCAAGATGATGTATTCCGTACTCTTCGTGGCTGGCTTGAGTCTGGCATCATCTGGGGCATGTTTTCAGGTAGCCCGTGTGAAAAATGGTCTCAAGCACGCAGGGCTCCGCCGCACAGTGCCATGCCTCGACGCTTGCGAACTAAAGAGCACCTGCGAGGCCTCCCGAATTTAGAGGGGGCCGACTAGCACGATGTCGTCACCTCTAACATTCTGGCTGACAGAATTGCCCTGCTGCTCGGCATCGCCCTGAGACGCCAGCTGCCAGCGGGTGAAGAAAATCCTGCGTCAAGTCTGCTGTGGCTGCTCCCCAGCCGCCAACGTTTTCTTTCGCGCGCTAATGTTCAGACTGTAGTCTTTGATTATTGCGGCGCTGGCCGCCCGTTCCGAGCTCGCACGCGCATGGCTCTCGCCAACATATCTGTTCCGCCAGAGCTGTGCACCTGGCACTGTAAAGGTAGGGGGGTCTGTACGTTTTCTGGCAAGCCTCACCTTGTTCTGACGGGTAAGTCCAAGGCCGGCTTCCTTACCCATCTTAAGGCGTCCTACCCCCTTCGCCTGTGCTTTGTGCTCGCTCGAGAACTTTCTCACAGCTACGTGTCCCTGCGGGCCAGCCGCCTTTGGAATTTGATGCGGTAATCCAGTACATTGCTTGAAGACGGGGTTTCATTCATGAAGATGGGTTGTGTTGGGCAAACTGCCCACGCGACATGTTGTCTTCGCCTCAGCATTTCTCTGGAAAACAAGAATGACCATAGCAGTGCAAGGTATTGTTCATTTCAGTGGTCCGCTTTACTTGCTCTGTAGCCATCGCTTCTGCCCTCGCCAGCCCAAGGCCTATTTAATTGTAGCGTTCTCTGCGGGTTGTGTTGGGCAAACTGCCCACGCGACATGTTGTTTTCGCCTCAGCATTTCTCTGGAAAACAAGAATGAACACAAATAGTTTCAAGGGGCCTTCCTAGTTCAAATGTCGAATGTGTTTCCTTGTCCTTCATCTTCAGGGGGTTGGCAGGAATCGAATTTACTTTCAACACCCTCTTGTTGCATGAATCTACGTACCCACTTTTACTGAACTGTGAGTATGTGCAGGTGTGCGACTAACATCGAATGCACACCTAACCCCCTAACCTACCTACCTACCTACCTACCTACCTACATACATCCATACATGCATGTGTGCATGCATACGTGCATACATACATTCGCACGTATCGTACGGGTACGTTTGTTTATTGCAATCGTGCATGTTCTCGTCAGCATATTGTTGTTGTTCTCCTGCGCGGCCTATGCAGCATGAGAGGAGGTCCAGGGGGGAGAGCATTGCGCTGTTGTCCTCCACAGGGCCCCCCCGCATGTGACCCCCGCGTGCTGCCCCTCCCTGCCCTCCCCCCTCCCTCCCCAGGCCTGTGCATGCCCTGCCTGCTGGAGTGACCCATGAGTTGGCTGCGGCCAAGACACAGTGTTTGTGAAGCATCTTGGAGCCTTTTTGTCCTTGCCTTTTCAGGGCTTCTTTTAGAGTTCTGACCGATCCGGTCCGATCGGTCCGATATTGTTTTCGATCGTCCCGATCGGCTTCGATTCCGATATTCCGACGATCTGATGAGGCCCGATGTTTGCACGGCCTTGGCGTGCATTTTGGTGCGGCTGGTCCGATTCGATTCTGACTCCGACTCCGTGCCTATGCCGCACGATCCGATGCTCCGATGGCCCGATCCGGTGCCTGCCGCTCCTGCCATCCGAATGCCTCCCGGCATGTGCGGGCGATCTCACTGAGGCCAAGCTTCTCAAGCCGGCCAAGGCCAAAGCCAAGGCGAAGGCCAAGGAGAGGGAGCCGCGCCGCGGCCCAAACGCGAGGGGTCTGGCCACGAGCTGCCGTCGCGGCACCCTTGCTGAAGCTCGGGTCTGTGCCGACGAAGGCGCCCTATGCTGAGGATTCTGCTTTGGTCGCCCGAGAAACCAAGAAGGACATAAACATACATTGATTTTTGAGATCTTCGCGGGCTTCTCGGATCGGTAATGGGCGCCCCTTGCGGCGCCTCGAGCGTCGTCCCTGGCGCGCGCCAGGGAGGGGTCCAGCGCCGATCCTAGAAGAAGAACAACTGCATAAACATAAACTTGTGGCGCTCCGCGCGGCTTTCTTAGATCTGCGCTGGCCCCCCTCCCTCGCGCGCGGAGCGTGCCAGGGGCGGCGCCGGAGGCGCCGCTGGGGGGCCCGGCGCGGATCGAAGAAATCCGTGCGGAGCGCCACAAGTTTATGTTTACACGGTTGTTTTTCTTCTTCTGGATCCGAAGATCAGTGTGGACTTCCGCGAGTGTTTGTTCATGTCGTTGCTTGCTCCCCGCACGCTGCTCGGACGATTCTGCCTTCGCAGAGACCCCCTGTTGTAGGGGGCCCTCGTGGCCACTGCTGGGCGCAGCACGCGAGAAGTCAGCCAGGGCGGGCCCTACCCAGGGCCCCGCCCAGGGATCGGTCTGGAACAGGGTCGCCAATCAGAGTGAAGGGGCCGAAGGGTCATTTAAATAAGCTGTGCTGGGGACCCTAAGTGCCAGAGCTTGGGGGCAGACGGCAGCGGCCGAGAGGCCTGGCGAATAAAAAGTCCAGGACACACAGAGCTTGAATATCCGACACAGCAACAGCAGATGAGAGCGACCACATTACAAGCGCGAGCGAAAGCGAGGGGTCTACGCCCCAAGTAAAGTTCAGAGCACTCGTCCACATCATGCTGAAACCAGCCCTCCACGCGGAGGGCCCACAGGTACCTGACCTTCATGGGCCCACAGGGGCCGATCAAGCACAACAAAATGAGAGTGCGAACCCCGCAAAGGCCAAGAAGCCCCTTCTGGCCGAAGGCCCTGCATTCAGGATTTTGAAATCAGCACCGCAGGCAGAGGGAGGGAGGGCGGGAAGAGAAGAATACAAGTATTATACTCAAAAATTAACCCCCCAGCTTTGGCACAGATCCCCAGATTAATTGCAAGCTCAAAGAAACGCACTTCGAAATCCAAACTCTTACAGACATGTGAAGAGAGGAGGTGAGGCTAGGCGGCGCCACGGCGTCGAAACAGGGCCTTGCCCCCTGTCCTCGGGCGCCCCACCTCGGGCCGCGCCTGCAACGACGCACAGCCGAGGTCGAGGCTGTCGTTCGAAAGCTGCGAGAGAGCCGCAATCAGGCGAACGGTGAGCGGCCTACGTGCCGCCCTGGACTTCCCCAGCGCCTTGGCCATCGCCAAGCCTGGGGCCTGCCAGAACCGTTCGCCCTTCACGATCTGATCCTTCAGGAGGAGGGAGCGCCGCTGTATCAGCACGTGCGTCTTCGTGTAGCGCTGCAAGGCGCTCGAAGTAGTCCAGCGCCCCCTCCTCCTCGCAATCTCCAAATCTCCCCCATTCGCCACATACGGAGCAGCACCAGCGTGTCGAATGCCGTGAGGTGGGCCCAAGGCCCAACCTCTGTAGAGAAGACTGCCAACTCCTGCGGTACTTGTCGGGGGTGATCGGGAAGACGAGCCCATCATCTGCAAGATCCTCGGCGAGGGTGAGCAGGACGCATTTCGTCAGCTCCATCAGTACCTCCACTCCCTGCCCCGAGCCCGTCTTGACCTTCTCCCCTCTTGCTCGATCTCCTAGCAATAATGCCATACGCCCTCGTGCATCCACCGAAATGCTGCCTTTCCGTAGTTGAGCCCAGTCCTGCTCACGTAGCCAACCGTCGAGCTGCACCACGACCGCGCACGCCTCATGGACACACCCGGCCTGGCACAGGTCCAGGATGATAAGAGCGAGCGCCTGCAACGGGATGGGCTCGCCCTCTTGGCCCTGCTGCTGGCGTTCCCACGCTTTCAGTGCGCGAGACGACAAGGGAAGGAAGTTCCTGTGGTCCTCGAAGATGTGCATGAACCCGTTGAATAGCATGCTTCCCCGACTATAGCCGAGGCCCCGCACGTAGCACATGTCCGAAAGAAAAGAGGCCAAGGCTTTATCACGAAGATAGACCGAATGGGACGGTAAGTTCAGCCTCTTAGCATCGATCAGAAACTCCCGAACTGCCTTCTCGCATGCTACATTCGTCTTGTCATCGACCGCATGTATCGCCAATTTATTGTTTTAAACCAGAGGCATCCAGGCTGCGTTATCCCATGCTCGAGCTCCTTTAGTCTGCAGCGGCGGCGGCCTCGTGACGACTCTGACTGCGCCTGCTCCGTGCAGGCAGCCCAAGATGACCAGTAGCCAACTCCAGGACGGCCTGGATCGCACGCCCCGATTCGCCGCCAGCCTCTCCAGGTTTAAGTAGAGCTCCTCGTAGTCGACGGCCTCGTACTCCACTAACTCGTCGGTGCGGTGTCCGTGACTCGTGTCAAGTCCAGGAGACCCATTCACCATGTCGACGTGGTAGGTCCCGTCGTACTCGCCGTAGGGTAAGGCCATGCAAGCATGGAGCGGACGGCCTTCGGCGTGTGTCTCCACTTGTGCTCCTCCTTCGTCGCCTCGGCCGCTCCTATGTCCAAAGCTCTGCTCGGACCATCTGCCACATTGTCTTCCGACGCCACCCGCCTCAAGTACAGCTTGATACCGAAAACGAGGACCACTGCAGATGCCTAGCGAGCCATGTGCAGCAGGCCCGTCGCCGACGAGCGCCCCTTGCCAAGCACGCCCATCGCAACCAGGGAGTCCGAGAACACCAGCACGCGCTTGCCCCACATATTTCGTGAGCGAGACATGTGTCGCAAGAGGGACACAATCGTACGTAACTCCAGGATATTGTTGTGTTCCTCCCGCTGTCACAATCCTTTGAAGAGTAAAGACCAGCGGTCCACCCTCGCCCAGACCCTCGAGGCAGGTAGAGCCTGTCCACGCCTCTTGACCACCCTGAGGATGCCACCCTCCAGCCTCGCCTGGGCCCCCGCCACGACCATGTCCCAGCGCGGCTCGATCTTCAGCACCTGCTCGCAGTAGGTAGCCCTCCACTTCCAGCCGTGCCTGAACTCCGTCGCCTCCACGTGCTCTGCCTTGCGATCCTGCTCGCACTGCAGGGCCCCGAAGCGCCCGTCGTTCGTGATCATCGTCAGGAACCCCCGCCTCCACGGCCGTCCGAAAGGTGAAGACCTCCTCGAGCCTGGTGAGATCCTCCCAGAGCGCCTCGACCTCCGCATCCGCCGTCATCACCGCCGTGAAGATCAGGCCCTCCCTGTGGAAGAGCTTGGCGATCTCGAGGGCGATCCGCTGCTCCAGGGGCGACCTGGATGGAGCCAGATGTGTACACCACCACCACCGTCGACGCACTCGCCCAAACAGAAGCTCCATCTCCCTCGGTTCCGTCAGCTCGTAGGAGGGGCCCCTCAACAGATCCGACGCCTCGCGCCAGGACCTGGCGCGACTCATCGCGTCGTCGCTGATCCTCTCGACCTCACTCGCCAGCTCCAGGAACCCAGGCCGTCCCGCTGGTGGCCCCACCATCTCGTCGTCCCCCTCGCCCTCGCGCGCGACCTCCTCCTCCGCCGCTGTGGAGGCCTCGTCGGCCCTGACGGTCCAGGTCTGCAGGTCGCCCTTCGCCACCTCCATCCTGCACTCCGTCGCGGCGACGTCGGCCACGACAGCTCCGTGCCCGAACTCCGAGGCGTTCGTCATGCAAGCCCTCGTGGCCCAGTCCGCCTCCAAGTCCGACGCGAAGCACACCGAGAGGCTGGCCAACGCTACCAGCTACGAGACCACATCCGTCGTAAGGGGCAGCACCTCTTCCCAAGAGTCGCCGCGCTCGTTGATCCACCTGTGGATCGCGTCCAAAATGGCAAACCCTGAGCGGCAAATCATGAGGGCCCAGGTCTACATGCCCAGCAGAGACGAGAGCCTCGCAGGAGAGACGTAGGGCTTGACCGCCAGCGCCTCCGATGCCAGTGCCAGTTCTCTCAGCTTGTCGGGGTGAATCGTCACCCGGTACGGCCGCCCCATCACCGTGATCCCGAGGCCTCGCTGTAGTACAGGGCCCCATTCCTCCTTGTGCACCTCGAGCCCCTTGTCCACCAGCACCTTCTTCACCACCTCCTTGTCCACCTCGATGTCGCCCTCGGGCGGGTCGAGGAGCCTGAAGCCGATGTAGTCGTCGATGTACAGCATCAGAATCAGCTGACACGTCTCGAAGGATGGGGTCGGTCTCCCGCAAGCCAGCCCCCCCCAGGTCGTACCCTTTCACCTCCTTGATCGAGTCGGCGAGGCACGAGTGAGCCAGGAAGACGGCCCGCGAATGCCCCATCACGGGGGCGATGGCCCCCACTCCCCGATCTCCTTCGGCTGGCCATGGTATGTCCTTCCCCTGTCCCTTCGCATACTCCCACAGCTCGCTCGGTGACACGTCTTCCAGTACACAGTACTGAGCTAGCGACCTCGCCCACCTGAATCGGTAGAACCAGTCTGGGATGTCCCCCGCGAAGGAGAACAACTCCCTCTCCCCCAGCACCTCGGGCGACAGATCCAGAGAGCTCAAGGCACTCGGTGATCCCAGTCCCGTCCACGGCGGTCTTCTGAACCTCAGATTCAGACGCTGACAGCCCCACGCCAGCCTGGAGGCCTTGATGTCCGTCATGCTGCCTTCCTCCAAGGACTTCGCCACCGTAAAGACCCCCACGTGCTCTTTCACCTCGTCGACGAAACTCAGCATACCAGCCTCCCACATCCCGAGCGTCAGGGCTAGCCGATTCGACCTGACCCTCCACCCAGGGTCGCTGTTGCTCTTCGTCTGCTGGTACTTCACCCAGTCCACCTCGTCGTCGCCCCTCAGCATGAGCCCCTCCACGTTCTCCAGGCAGGGCCGTGCCGTTGGCGAAAGGCGC